CTGGAAACTTTGTTTTCCTGGTCTACTTCCGATTCACGAACCCGCCGAGGCTACGAACTCCCGGCCTCAACCTCGAATGATCGCTTCTCGAATCGGATTGGATGGATTAGATTCGGCGAATGGGATTGGAGGACACCGGACCAAGTTCGTGGAAGAATCGCTGGATCCACCAACGATAAAAATTAGCTTGATTAGCGGATACATCTGTGATAATTCTATTTCCAGCGTGAATTTAACTGAAATTTTATCCTGAAATTGAGTTTTGCTTAAAGTAAAAATCCGAATTTTAGACCAACTTAAGTCGACACCTACGACACACAGTGGAGGAAGTCAATGGGAGAAATCGTACATAATGTAGGAACTGTAAAAAGTTTTACCTTCAGCGATACGTTTAACATCAAACTCAGGATCAATTGGACGTATTTCTGTGAAACGGAACTATGTGCATCAAGACATGAGCCCTGTTATGCGTGTGTTCTTATGGGTCTCAGGGCTCATGTCTTAATGCACATAGTTCCGTTTGATAGAAATCCATCCAATTGATGCCTATATTTTTTATTTTTTTGGGATTCAGTCGAATAATGCTCAAAAAATCGGAAATACAGGAAACAGACATTCACTCTTCGTGAATTCGATGCGCTTGCCGTAATTGCAGTTATAAAGAATGATTTGAAAGTGAAAATAGTTGTGAAACTTTGGCCTTAACGTGCAATCTAATGAAGGAAGGCTTGGTGCATTTCTACTAAATTCGATCCAAATTACGTCACTCTTTATTAAACTTATCTAAACTCTGAACTGGACCCATAAACAAGTCCATTAACCCAGAAAATCCATCGTAGTTAAAATTCCTTCGCGTAATTCAACTCTGCTTTCAGGTTTACCCAACACATTGAGGCAAATGTATGGCTGATATCGTATGATTCATTATTCCCATCAATTGAATAGATGAAGTCTTATCTACACTGGAAAAAAGTATCACAATCCCAACCATACTCCTGGCTGATTTTGGCGCCGGATAAATGAGTAGTTGCACCAACTAGAGGTATGTTTGATCCAACCACACATTCTGGAGATTTAACCGTACCTGTGACTGGTGCAACTACTCTTAAATCTGGCGCCGAAATCAGCCAGGAGTATAGTTAGGATTGTGATACTTTTTCCCCCGTGTATTGTACTCATATCATTGATTTTTGTGATATGTTATGGCTTATGTATTTTTTGCATAAAGTACAATAGAGTCGCAATGTTCTGGAGCGCCGATGAGGTCACTTTATGAGGCTGTTTTGTCCAGTTCTCCTGAGACTAGTGTGCGGCGACTGGCGATGCCGTATGCGCGGGGTACCAGCTCCGGTCTTCGCTTAGAAAATACAGGTATAAAATTGATTTCATAAAAGCCGGGAGTGTTGTACATTTTTGAATTTTTTGTGACTCCGGTGAGCACAATTTGCCAAAATTTGCGAAAATAATGGTTGATTTAAATGAATAAATCCCGAAAACCACTCGCAGCCCGCGATTCTCCATAAGCCGCTGTGTTACACTGGAAAAAAAACACATTGGATCTTGAGTCCAGACTCTTGAAAACATTGACAAGAAAAAATACTCTTGATTCAATCAGATTTAAGCTTAAATCAAAAGGAAATCCGCTCAAATTAAGAGGCTTCGTTCTTGATTTAAGCTTAAATCTGATTGAATCAAGAGTATTTTTTCTTGTCGATGTTTTTAAGAGTCTGGACTTTAGATTCAATGCGTTTTTTTTTCCAGTGCAAAAAATGCCGAACGGTTCCCAGATGGTTCCCCCTTTCCGGCGAACAAGGGGCTCGGAATGGCCCGTTCATGGATTGACTTCATCAGCACTCCAGTACATTGCGACTCTATTGTACCTGACGATTTTTTGTCGTTATCATTATTTCTGAGATCTTCCTATCTAATTTCAAAGTTGTTCAAGTTGTGAAGTTTGTGTTGTTCAAGCGTACCTGTATGAAAATTGTGCGAGAGTGGGGACTGGTTGCCGGAGCCGGCGACGTAATCCAGAGAAACACGCTCACGCACGAGCACGACACCGCACTGAAAAGACCCGGAGTCTGGATTCCACGGACACGCTAACCTAGAAACAGAAAGAGAAAAAACGATAATTAACAGGGCTCGATCGGCCCCGGGTTCGGGTCCCGATTTATGCAAATTAAATTGTGTGCCGACGCGACGCCGACCGACGCCGACGCGGGCGATGCGATGCGGGCGACCGCGTGCCCGAATTCCCTCCTAACGACGCGGAACTCCGCTCCGTCCACGTAACGTAATAACAGGTAGGATTCGGGTGATCCGATTTCGGATCCACCAGACATGCCAGAGCCGCCTCCGCTCTGCAGCCTACCACGCATGTGTACGAAAAAAAGAAAAAGAAACGGATTCTGATCATACAGACTGATCTGCTGTGATAGAGAAGAGAGCAGCAAGTGCAAAAGTGAAGTTTTAAGAAAACGGGATCCGGTCTGACCGGAAAACTTTACTGAAAGAAGCCTCCGTTCTTTGACAAATTGCCACTAATCGTCCGAGGGATCCTAGAATTGGTTTGAATTATTAAAAATCGACCGATTTTAATTCAATATTACATTAAAAGGGTATTATTCATTTTCATGTTAGGCTAGTGTTACGCAAGACAGTCGTAAGTGCTATCTTCTGCATGCTTTCGTGGTTGCGTTTTGGACACACGGTGAACACATTTTCATATTAGACATTGTCAGAGGAGGGCGGCACTTTACATGAAAGCACTGCTTTCATTGGCTTTCTGGAGGAATAATGCCACTGCTGTCTTGCCTGAACCTTCGTCATCGTTTTCGGCCCAGAGAACCGATTTCGGGTTTCAGATCAATTGAACTTGAAGAAGTAAAAATAAAAAAGTAAAGTGAGACCTGGGGGATACTGGGTCCCTGATACTCGAGCCGGTGCCGCCCGTCACACACAACTTCCAATTCAAATTTAACCCTTGCTTCTTAAAGAAAAGTGAAAAATTTCAGATCTATGAAAACCACTTGCAAGCTATTTTCATGAATGTTTGTATGGCTCTGCGAATATTTTGTTCTTCTTTCCGTCATACGTCAATGCGATTTCCACCAAATGTTACCCAATTTAAATTCAATTCCTGTAGATCTCTTAATTTTAAAACTTGTAAAAACCCTGAAAAATTACATCTAGTTTTTCACCTTCACTTCACTAACTTGAGATTTCTTCTCTCGATTAAATCATGCAACACGGCAAAACACCTACCGAACGCAAACCTTTGGATTTGTCGGCAATGCGCCCTGGGGGTTTAGACCCGCCCACGCTTCGGCATAGAGGCGTTCGAGTCGCTTGCACTCACCGCTGATGACCCGTAACACACTCACCCGCTCAGCCGACACAAAAGCGAGCCGTTGAGGCATTAGCGGCTCACCACCTCTTACTGACGTACTAAGCAACAACCACCTATCTGCATATTGAATCTATTGGAGTTATAAGCGATTTTAGCTTGCCTCGGCGGAACACTCGGTACCGAGTCAAAAACAATGCGCGGCTTCGATGACGCAATGTCTTCGGCCTCACTGCTGCCCCGCTGAGTAAAAGTCACCTGTGCCCGATGAAAAACCGATGGAGATATGTGGTTTTTGATAGGTTTGCGGCTCGAGCTTAGCACAGCGAAGTTGCGTGACTGTTTCACGAGCGCCATGTGCCGATGCACGAAGCGAGAAGTTGAATTGAACTTTCGATGGTTGGGTAGCTAGTCTGCAAGAGAAGAGAACATCTCGAGGGAGGGTATTGAAAATTCCAACTATCAACAGTTATTTACAGGTTTTCTGTGGATTAACGGCGATTTGTCGATCGAAGAGGCACGGGTGCGAAAACTTCTCGACCACGCGACCGGGCGAATCGCGATCGGTCGCGTCAGAAAATTGGAAGTTCCCGAAAACGGTGTTTTGATATGGGAAAGCTGGCAAAATCCCGATTATTTTAGAAAAACTACGGTTAAAATCATGAGTTTTTCGAAAAATCGCGGTAAAAATCGCATATCGACGGTGAAAGTCGGCAATCACATAACTCGTTTGCGGTGTCTAAAAATCTCCGCCTCTACGTCATTTTTTTATAAGAGAACAAATTGATATTATTTCTTGAAGTTTTTGCAGAATTTTCTTCGCATTGAGAAGAAAAATCATGACAGTTTTAAAGAATTGCCGTTGAGTAGTTTTCCATTTAAAAAATAAAGTATGACAGGAAGTCTGCGACGTCGCAAACCGAGTTATGTGATTGCCGACTTTCACCGTCGATATGCTTTGCTCAAAGAAGCGCTAATTTATCGTTCGAGCCAAAAAAAAGTGATCTTTTCGAATTTTTTGGAGAAAAACGGGGTTTTTAAAATGGGAAGGCCAAGAACTTCCTACACCCCTGCGAAGAAGTCGGAAAATTCAGGGAAGCAGGAAGTTCTTAGCCCTTTCATTTTTAATGATTTGCCTTCCCCAGAGCTACCTCCTCAAGTAAGCCTCCCTGAAAATTTATCGGGGCCAAAAAGTAGCTCCTGTTGACCTGGGTCGTGTGATCAAACTTTCAAATTGGCCCAAACTGCAGAAAAAGGTCCGATTACACAAATCAAAAGTCTCTTCATACGAACCGAAAGTTTCACGTGATGAGCAAAAGTTTTCAATCAATACTGCACTCCGAACTTCTTGTTTCAAAGTGAGAAACAACACCACAGCTACGAAGAAGAGCTCTGTTGATTTACTGCGGTTGTCGGTTAAGATTTAATTGCATCTTATTCAAAGCTCAGTCAGATAAGATTAAAAAGGGAAGATAGGATGATGCAAATTTAGGATGCACCGAGCGTAATTCAACAGTCTTACTTTCTTTAAAGGTCAGGAGTTACGCTGCACAAAGGGGTTCTGGAGGGGGGAACGGGGTACGAACGGGGCGGCGAGAATTCAGGTTACGACCTATATTTTCGCGGTTTGGAACGATCCCTTCTACGGCGGCTGAAGCGTCTATTTCTGCAGGATAAATGGATTTCGCGCGGATTGGGTCCCTTTCTTCGCTGTTCTCTCACCTGGGTACCCGCTCTGAAGCACGTTTTGTTAGACGTGATACCCCTTAATCGATGAGAGAGTGGATGCTGTTAATTGATAGTCTTGTTTCCAGGGGTACCTCGCCACAAACATTCTACTAAGTTGTTTTATTATACATCAAATTGTTTCGCAAATAACTTTTGACCCCATCAAGACTCCACTTTGAATTTCTGCATCCAGATTTTTCGCGGTATGGCTGACCTCCGGTCAAATTTTCGTGCAATTCGATTGATCCCTTCTAGAGATATTTCAAATTCCGACTTCAAAATTTAACACAAAAAAATTGAAGTTATGTCAAATTGTGTTACTTAGAAGTGAAAAATGCATTCCGAGGGCTTATTTTCATTGGTACCAGAGCGATTGGGAACGGGTCAACCGTTCTGAAGTTACAGGCTCTTAATGGTGGAATATTTCGTTCATTTGCCCGAACTTTAAAGCCCGAGAAAAGTTGAAGGACTTGCCGAAAAAATATAAATTCACGTTTTTAAACTCAGGTCAGTGAGCAGAAAGAACATGTCGAATTTCATCCAATTCCTGATGGGGTCAGGTCAAAAAAAGCCAATTTTCGGTCTGATTCGGCATAGAATGACTCTAATTGCAGAACGTGAGGTTTAATGTTAGGTTAGGCGGGTATGGATTCGATCGACATGAATCGATCGAAAAATTAAAACGTGAATCAATTGACACCAATTAGATCGACAAATGTTTAATGCCGGTGTCGATTCGATCGGCATGAATCGATCGAAAAGTAAAAACGTGATTCGATCAACAAATCCATGAATCAATCGAATTTTGTCGATCGAAACAATACCGTCTGAATAGAATACGGCAACGGAGAAGTGTACTTATTTTTGCTCTCTTCGAGCGAACATCGCTACGCTGAGTTGACAACGCAGTCGAGCAATCTAGCCAACTTCCTTTCCTCTATTAAAAAAAAAGAGGGAAAAAGAAAATGGGAGATAAAAAAGGGGATTAAAAAAGTTCGTATCTCGTTGAGCCACTGCTGGATCGCCCGTGCTTATCAACGCCTTACTGGAAAAAACCGATAATGGCTCTTATCAAACTGAGTTTCGCAAGGATCGACTGAAATTATCCCGTGCAGCAGCCGTTCATGTTCGTTAAAAACTTGCAACTACAAATAAAACGAAGCTGATAACAGCGCGCAAACAGCCAGTTTCTTAGTATATACGTACATTATCAGCAAGCTGATTATTGAAATTGATAGACAAAGCGATGGACAAAGAAGACTTAGGGAGTATGGAGCGATCCCATTGTTTGAAATAAGTGATTCCTATAGACTAGGGGAGAAAATGCTGGACTAACTAGAGGGTCTCTTGTGGGTTGCGTTGCCGTTAGTTGGTGTATTAACTACCTCCGTGGTTCATTCCATATCCTTTTTGTCTCCTCTGTCTATGGCTTTGTCTACTACTTTTAACAATCGGCCCGTAGACTCAGATAACAACAATAGTTGTTCAGAAAACTGAAGAGCACTATAATGCGAGCGCAGGGAATTTAATAATTTTAGTAATGCAAATATAAAATGAAACGAACCCTTGATATCCTAGGGAGTATTTGCACTTTAGTGCATATTCTTATATGTTTTAAATGACTGGCCGTTGTTGAAATGACTTTCGAAGTTTGTCAAAACGAGCATTTATCATTAAACCACCCTTGGGTAAACTAGGAGTATGTTTATGGGAAAAGTATATGCACATGTCTGGAAGTCTGGATCCGTCACGCTTTCATCGGTATCTCTCCGACTAAGCTAGGGCCAAGAAATTAGTTAGCCAGCTTTTGATTTCAAATGATCTGTTCTTATTATCATGACGGTTAATTGAATTCTTGTGGCTATCAGAATCAAAATTCGCACGTGTGAGCCTGCAAAAATCAACGAAAACACGTGTTCGAATTAATTCCATTCGCCAGGAAAGAGGGATATAGAGCGGAGCGGACAAAAATATGTGAAAAAAGTAATTTTTTTCCGCTGACTCAAACTCACCTCGTTCGAATTGGCTGA